TTGCAATTGTTTACGCTATGTATACGCAAGAATTAAACTAATCTAAAATTGTATATAAAAAGGGATCATGCAAAAAATCCAAGATATAAACTTATGAAACTTAGAATTGTATATAAATTTAGAATGTCGATTGCAGTAGATGAAACTTTGCTTTTGAATACAAAAAGAATGGAAATGATTGGTTGATTCTATTGATCGTCCCCTTCTCCATTAAGCTAAGCCATATTTATACATCAATAGCTTTCCTCGTAATCGACTCAACTATCCGGCGAAATAGGCTCCGGGATATTAGGCTTCTCCTATCTTCATGCATACAGTTGCTATTTTTTCTCTTTAAGCTTAATCCTTCCGTTGGGGCTTGTAGTTATCCGTATCAGCTTGACCTTTATTCAATTGGGCTTCGTCTTTAGTTACCCTTTAGAGATGGGCCGATCTGCTTCTTGTATTTCCACGGCCCAACACACTATAATACATTAATAAATTTAGGGTTTACCGTTTATACTCCCTAGCCTGAGCTCCGACCAGTCATCCCCAGCCTCCCAAACCAGCCCCCACTTGAGCGCCCCACATGAGCCCTAGCAATAGCCCCGTTGCAGCCCCCCTCTCAGCTTCGTAGCCCTCGTCACCGGCCCAACGCCGTCCCTCACTATTGTCGCTGCCTACAATCACACCATCACCCACCCTTAGCTGCCGGCGAGATGCTCCAGATCGAACGGAGCACAATTAGATATAGATCTTTGACAACGAAGCAGAGATGAAACAACGGCGGTAGCTACAGTTTCGGTGATGTCCCGATTCTGCGATGGTGAAGCCTACGATGGGTAATGGGTAGGCTTCGACACAGCGGCGGCTTCGACGATGAGGCGGTGACACAAAGGCGATCTTCGAGGCAGGGCGATCGACCCCCATTGTTACCTGCTCTCCTTAATCCAGATCCATGCCATTGTTTTCTGCTCTCCTGATTCCATGCCAGCTTTAATCGGATGGGGAGTTAACGACGACGAAGGGTTGTTTAACAGATGCGTTAAAGGATGGTCAAAATGGAACCAAAAACTATAATTTTGTGTTTATTTGGTCTAGTTAAAACTTTAGTGTCTAATTCGAGGTTCGTTAAAAACCTTGGTGTCATTTTTTATCATTCTCTCTTGTAAAATTAAAAAACCAAAAGTTTATAAATTGTAGAAACGATGTAATATTACACTGTGATACGGAGTGTATTGTTTTTAATTAAAGGGTGTGGTTAGTACTTAGTATATAAGGATGTATTTATTTGGAATGTAATTTGTCTCAGATCAGACTTAAACAGACCAGACCAGACTTAAATAGACTAGACCAGACTTGACCTTTGTAGTTATAAAATACACACACACCAGACAAGACCAGACTTAAACAGACCAGCCTTAAACAGACCAGCCTACACTAGACTTAAACAGACCAGACCAGACTTGACTTTTGTAGTTATAAAATACAAAGAGACCAGACGTTTACAAAATCAGACCAGACCAGACCAGTTCAGACCAGACCAGATCAAACTTAAACAGACCATACCAGACCAGACTTAAACAGAACAGACCAGCAAATTACAGTAAAGTAAGAACATCCTAGCTCAAGAAAAGGGAGACACTAAAAGTTATGGATGAATGGTGATGCGTAAGTGCGTAACGGGTTTTATCAGGAGGGGGTGTACTCTTTAGTACTACCTTCGTCAGGGCCGACCCTGGCGGTGTGCAGGGTGTCCAACCGCACAGAGCCCAAAAAATTGGAAGGGCCCAATTTTTTGTAGTAGTATACTAGTATTACTTAGATGTGGTTTCGGTTCGGTTTTGATATAAAACCAAATGAATTACAAAAAAAAAATGGACTAGGGCAAGACTTTGAAGCAGGTCCGGTTCGCTACTTCGCGCATTCATCATCTGCAAAGGAGGAGCGTGTATATAGGATTGAAGGAGTAGTAATTTCAGTGGCGGAACCAGCTCGGGGATCTTGGAGAGGCACATATTGGAAAAGGAAAAGGTCTTCGACAAGGCGGGCGGCTTGCTACTCCGACAAGATAGACAGTGGCAAGAGGAAGTGCCAAAGAGACTACGACGTTACGTACTATGAGTTTGTGTCCGCCTTCTAGAGCGTTGTGGCTTGCTACGCAATAGAGGTCTCCAATAGGCGGCAAGGCAAGCAACTTTTTATTTTTTATTTTTTTTTTATTTTAGTGGCTTGAGGATTGTAATAAACATAATGTTTGAAACAATGAAATGTATATTACTAACAGAGTTTCCCCTGACAACAATATGATTAGTTACGTTTTTGGACGAAAATATGACAAGTTACTGTGTACGAGTATCTGGACAAGAGTCACTATAACGTATTTCAGAGTGACATGTCACTGGTAGATGACGAGTCACTATAAATTAGTCATTGAATATGTCACTTTTTAGAAAATTTTAAAATAAGTTCTATTTTATCTTTTGAATTTAATTTAGTGTTACCTTTGTCCCGCTAACATTGGAACAAGAGGAGGTGACACAGTTATTAAGAAAAGTAAGTTTATATGATTGATATTGAATTGATAAAATAATAATAAAGTAAGAATAATTTAGAGCTACACAAACTTTACGAAATTTGGTATGAAATAATCTTATTAGTTATTAGTGTGATTTTTCGAAAAGTAAAATATGACAATCTTAACGCGATAGAGAGAGTAATATTCATGAATAAAGGCTCTTGCAATATGACTACAACACTCCCTATAAACACTTATCACCCATTTCATCCCCACCACACAAAAGTCCACAAAAACTAGAGCCTAATGCTCCCAGGCCCCAGCCAATTCCATCTTCGGACACATTACACATAATAAAAGTGTGATTTCTCATATTACGGGGTTCCTCTGCATGAGCGTCCAAATTACGGGAGTTTTTTTAGGTTTTCTAAAAAAACGGGAAACGTGTTAGCGTAATCCGAAAAGTTTAGGTTTGAGGGGAACACCTAGGAAAAGCTACAAAACGGATTTAAGGAATCCGAATGTTGTTTTTATTTTATTTTGTTAAACATGCCATGTACGTAGAGTTGAGTAGGTGGGATAATAATATGGAGTAAGAGCATCATTTTGTACTCTATATTTTAAAAACATACAAATAATTCAATATAAATTTGTAAGTGGGATAGATAATAAAGTGTTTTTGATGAAGTGTTTTGAGTGTTTTGATTGGGATAATTTGTAAAAAAAAATCAATAAATTTAGTGATATTTATAGTTGGAAAGATGTGTATTATTTTATTAAATAAGAAATAATCAATTGTTATGTTAGAGATTGTAATAGTGAATATACATATTTAATCATATTGTATTACAAATTTATTCAAGGTTCCCGAAAAATAAATAATATAAATATTTCATTACTCATTTCTTCTTGAACAACAACATGACAAAGAAATACAAATTTTTATTCATTGAAAAAGAGTTACAAAATACATATAAATTTTTACTCTTGTACTCTTGTAAATCGTGTCCTTTGAGGCCTACCGGTTTGACTGCGTCGAGCACTTTGAGGCGGTATCACTACATATCCGGTATCAGGCATCGCACTTACGTCATGCATAGGCATAATATCTGTAGCATACGTACAGATGTACGCACCTAATTTATACACGTCCGGGATTAGATGATCTACAGTTATTTCTAAGAAATGGCATGTTGCATAGGCGTGCACACATGGAAATCCATTTTGCTTCCAAAAACCGCAATCACATTCGCAACGTGAGAGATTTACCGTTACCGGCGGATAATCACGGATGGAAACAGAGTATATTCCCGTTGTTCGGTTATGCGGGACAATAGTGCACTGATGTCTTTTTTGCGAACGTTCAAGAATATCTTTCCATATATTTTGCGGATATAGGAACCCAGCTTGCCGCCACATCTGACCGGCCCTACGTCGATCGGCACATAGTTGGACAACTTTGTTATAAGTTGTCTTAACCAGCGCGGTGATTGGAAGTGTTCGACATCCCTTTAGAACATTATTGAAGCTCTCGGAAAGATTTGTTGTAAGGATGCCGTAACGTCGTCCATCGTCGAAGCACAGTGCCCAATTTTCACGTGGAATAGCGTTCAAATACGTGAACGCATTCTCATTCGTAGCACGAATTTGAGCCATTGTTTGGTAAAATTCACTCACCATGGGTGTACTCCCGGCCTGCCAACAGAGCTTTTTCAGTTCAGTGCTCCTGAATTTTGTCATTAAATTGCTTCTAATGTGTCGGAGGCAGAACCGCTTCGAAACTTGGGAGGTTTTCAATTGAGGTACTGATTGATAGGCACTTAGGATGCCAGGGTGTCGATCTGATATTATGCACACATGCCGATTTGGTCTGACAACATAAGTCATAATGTGTTCCAAAAACCAGGACCAACTATTTGTGTTTTCACTTTCCACAACTGCGTACGCGAGAGAAAAATCTCACGGTTAGCATTCATGGCGACTGCAACCAGGAGATGGCCCTTGAACTTTCCGTACAAGTGAGTACCGTCAACAGATACTACGGGCAGACAGTGTTCAAACCCATCAATGGAAGCTTTAAAAGCCCAAAACGCATGATGAAATTCATACGTACCATCATGACTGGTTGGTTTTGGTTTGAAATCTACCACTGACCCCGGATTTGATTCTCTTATCGCAAGCCACAAATTGGGTAAATCATTGTAGGCTGCCTCCCAGTTCCCGAATCTTCGTTCAAGGGCAATCAAACGTCCATACCACGCCTTTTTGTACTTGACATTGATTCTGAATTTGTCGTATATGTCTTGCATCACGAGTTTAATGTTGTAGTCCGGATCAACATGCACTTTTGTAGCGATTACACTCGCTATGATCTTGCTCGTCATAAGCCTGTCATTACGGGCTCTTTTATAATCCACTATGCAGTTGTGTAGTGGTTGATATTTTTTCACCTTCCACAAATTGGTGTTGAGAAGGTTTCCCGCCTGAATGTGCCACATACACATGTCATCATAGATGCAAACTGCCTTCCACGATCTCACACGTTTGTCTTCTGTCTTAAAAATTTGAGATTGCCGAATATTTTCTATTGCTACGGCTTCTTTCAGTGGAATCTGTACACTTTTGTACCCGGAATATTTTTTTAGATCAAAATTATTGATAGTTGGGAGTGGGTTTAGGTGGGTGCAAGTGGTTGGGAGAAGTGGTTGAAATTATTTCGAACAATAAGTGATTGAAAAAAAATGAATGTTGTGTAGAATTATTGATTCCAGAAGTGACAGGGAATCTGTCAGAAAAATTAAAAGTTGATTGATTTAATTTAAAGTGAGTGGAATCTGTACACTTTTGTATCCGAGATATATTTTTTAGATCAAAATTATTGGTTGTTGGGAGTGAGTTTAGGTGGGTGGAAGTGGTTGGGAGAAGTGGTTGAAATTATTTCGAATAATAAGTGGTTGAAAAAAAATTGAATGTTGTGTAGAATTATTGATTCCCGAAGTGACAGGGAATTTGTCAGAAAAATTAAAAGTTGATTGATTTAATTTAAAGTGAGTGGAATCTGTACACTTTTGTATCCGGAATATTTTTTTAGATCAAAATTATTAATAGTTGGGAGTGGGTTTAGGTGGGTGCAAGTGGTTGGGAGAAGTGCTTGAAATTATTTCGAATAATAAGTGGTTGAAAAAAATTGAATGTTGTGTAGAAGTATTGATTCCCGAAGTGACAGGGAATCTGTCAGAAAAATTAAAAGTTGATTGATTTAATTTAAAGTGAGTGGAATCTGTACACTTTTGTACCCGGAATATTTTTTGAGATCAAAATTATTGATAATTGGGAGTGAGTTTAGGTGTTGTTGGGATCAAAATTGTAGAATTATTGGTTACCGAAGTGATAGGATTGTTCGAATGATGAAAATTTTTTGAAAAGTACAAATTAATTGAATGTTGAAAGGGATATTTATTGAATGTTGAAAAAAAAGTAAAATTTCGAATAATAAGTACTCCGTACATAATAGTAAAGTTTAAGCTTAGGACTACAAATTACTACAAATTACCTCAAATTACAAATTCAATTGATAACTTAATTCAAAATTATCAATTGAATTATTGAATTATTGAAACGTAATAGTAAAAGTACCTGATAATAATAACATAATATCAAATTCGATTGATAATTTAAAAGTACAAATTCAATTCATAATTGATAAAACTAATTACATACAACTATTCTGATTCATCAGATTCATAGTGTCGACCTGGCACCACGAAGTGACTCCCTGCCCCACAACGTCGAGAATGTATATCCCGTCTCGGCCTATGTTCAATTGGCGGTTGTGTGCTTGGCCCTGCTTCTTGCCCCATCCCACTCTGTACATATTATCCTAATAAGTTGTTCAACCAATCAATTGGTGAATTTAAAAAGATGGGACGTGTCTCATATGTAGGCTGTACATGTGGAATAAACGATGGCGCATCAAACGTCGGAATGTATGCACTAGTCGGTGTAGAGTATTGATTAGGTACATGAGATGGGGAAGAGATGTGTGAATGAATATGTGAAGATGGTTGTCCTTCTTCTTCACCACCATCTTCGCCATCCTCTTCCTCCGCCTCATCATCATCATCATTATCATCATCGTGATTATCATCATCACCATCATCATTGTCGACGAGTGGAGCAACATAACCGCGTCCGTAACGCCGACCTCTAGTGGCCGCGACTCTTCTACGGTCTTGCCGAAGTGGAGGATGATCATCCACTGCATCATCATGGGCATCCCCATAGAAAATGATGTCTTGATGAAGCACATTCTCGGCACCTAATCCTGTAAGGCATCGTGAAATTTGCTCGCGGATGTCTTCGACGTCAAATGGAGCTGCCATGCGCCGCTAGATATCGCCCATACATTGCATCTAAAATTTAAAAGTAAAGTTATTAAATAATAATAAACATTTCTAAGTTGAATAATTACACATAAAATACTTACTAGTGTACTTGTCTCCCTGTTAGTAGTTACATAACCCGTTGTAGGTCGACCATGTAACGGATTGCAAATCCGTCGTTTCCCGACATCTGCGTACCATTCACGGTACGCAGGAGTGTAGGTGGGATGATCAACGAACTCAATTGCGATACGACGATTGTACCTCGTCGCCCATAGTGTCAATGGCCATCCAGAATTTTTTGCACCACTTGCATGGTGGCTAGCTTGTGATTCCGCTGCGGGAGGAATATGTTGCATTGCACCGAATTGACGACAAAATCTACCGGGATAGTACATCTCAAAAATGTCACAATATATAAGCATGACATTAGATGTCCACAAATCTACTCCCGCAATGCAGAACCTGGGGAGGGCTTGTAATGCGTATGGGAGCCACACGAACTGGATCAATATTATTTGAAGTTAATTTAAAAACATATTTATTTTCTATTAAACTAAAATGATATTGTGAATTATAACTTCGTTCTCTCGGATCCCGTCCAACTGATCTCGATAAATACATAGAGTATACCGAGAACTTTGTTCCCAATTGTGTCGACATGCCCACCTTCATAAAAATAAGTTATTATACCATGACCTACAAATATATTTAATATACTAATACATATTATGTAAAATTTCAAATTATACCTGCACCCATAGGGCATATCCTGTAGATTCTCATATGGCAAAACGTTTCGCGGCCGCACCATGGGCAATCTCTCCCACGCCCAAATCTGCAATAGAAGCAAGCATCTCCCAATATTTCTCCTGTTCGCTTTGGCGGTCTTGCACATGTTGTAATACAGGAACCCCAATACTGCTGAGCCCCAACTCCACTGTCGTGCTTCACCGAGCGGTCCCTGCAACAACTCTAAAAAGTACAATTTTATTTTGTTCCCGGTAGTGGAGGGGAACAATAACCCACCTAGTAGTTGCCAAATGAGCACCCTCGTGTATGTGATGAGTTCCTCATTTGTGCTGTGCTGATGTACCGGTCAACGTTGTAGGGCATTCATTCTTATTACAGATGTGTTTAAGTCGTTGTTGTTCGGCGTGAAACCGGCGAAGTCCGTGCACATTTGCATCCAAAGTGCTTTCGAGTTCGTCCTAGGTCCGGACAGTGGTTCTCCGTCGATGGGCAACCCCAACAACACTTATACGTCCTGTAAGGTGATGCCCACCTCACCAAAAGGCAAATGAAAAGCGTGTGTCTCTGGTCTCCATCGCTCAACCAACGCCGTAATAAGCGACCAGTCTAACTGCAACCTTCCGATGCAGTCGACGTCGTAAAAGCCGGAGGCCTTCAGCAACGCTACCACTCCTGGGTGACGCAAGCCGTCTTTGTACACCATTGAACAATATAGATTACACCTCAACTTGTCATCCATGGATGTAGCATCATTCCAGACAAGGTCCGCTCGATGCGCGTAACGTGGCATCACCAGCACAGACCGATCAACCGGGTCCATAAGTGGTATTTGTGCAGCCATTCGTATCTCAACTGACAATAAGAATCATATATTAGTGTTATATATGTGTGTGTATGTATATTATAATGACGTGTTTTATTAAATGAAATTATAAATTACACATAAACTTTCAATGAAACTATATCAGTCTTATGTATTACATTATAATATATGTACGGTTGATATTGGGCTTATCCACTGAACAATATTACCACCGTGCCAGAAACTAGAAAAGGACTAGTTCTAGACGAGCTTGTGAAAATTGTACGAGTATAGTGCAATTATATTATATATGTTCCCATACAAATTTTAGACTTGCCACTGAGTAATATTCTCACTGTGCCAGAAACTAGAAAAGGACTAGTTCTAGACATAACGTTTGCCAGAAACTAGAAAAGGACTAGTTCTAGACGAGCTTGTGAAAATCGTACCAGTATAGTGCAATTATATTATATGTACCGATACAAATTTTAGACTTGTCACTGAGTAATATTCTCACTGTGCCAGAAACTAGAAAAGGACTAGTTCTAGACATAACATTTGCCAGAAACTAGAAAATGACTAGTTCTAGACGAGCTTGTGAAAATCGTACCAGTATAGTGCAATTATATTATATGTACCGATACAAATTTTAGACTTGTCATTGACTAATATTCTCACTGTGCCACAAACTAGAAAAGGACTAGTTCTAGACATAACATTTGCCAGAAACTAGAAAAGGACTAGTTCTAGACATAACATTTGCAAGAAACTAGAAAATGACTAGTTCTGGACGATCTTGTGAAAATTTTACCAGTATAGTGCAATTATAATTTATGTTTGCTTTTATGACCAAATTATAATACATGTGACGAACTAAATTATATTATAGTGTTATTTGAGAATAAATAATGATGACTAAATTAAAATGTTCAACTAACTAAACTAAATTTAAATTTGTAATAGCAACGTACGTAGTCTCAAATTACCATATACACTAATTTATTATTTAATACATTAGCAATTAAGATTAATTACATATTAATATTAAGGTCTTCTAAATATTCAGACTGACATAACAAAATTAGAACAAAAAATTAATAATAAAGAATAAAGATATAATTAAGTTTCTAACCTTTATTTCAAAAACTTGGAGAATAGAATTAGCAAGAACACTCAATAATTTTTTCTAAATGAATTTGTTTTTAGGATAAGAGGATGAATATGATGTTGAAGGGATTTAAATAGGTTAACATTGGAGTTGGGAGTATGGATTTTCGTGCAAGTAATGGACGCTTGGGATGAGTTTGGTACTATCATGCGGCTGAAGTATATGGGATGAAGAAGCACAATCCGTGTCATCTTGTGCTGGCCAATCAGGAAGCTTCAATTTTCGGATTCCTCTAATCCGAATTTCTTGCCCTGACAATATGCTTGCACCACACCTGACACCACAATTCCTTTAATTGGAATTATCTGCTGCTCATGACAATCACGATGGAAACTAGGACTCAAAAAAATAAAACCCAATTTCGGATTAGAGGAATCCGAGTTTTTTGGTTCTGACATATCTGCTCCATCTTTGCGTCAAAATCGGAAGTCCATACAAAAAACCTAAGAAAGTCGGATTAACCAACCTCGTTTCCCGTAAATCTATACCCTAACTCTGACATTCGTATTTTGGGAATGACTGCATGGAATTCCCGTAAATCCATCCTTTCCTCGACTTCCGATTTTGACGCAAAGATGGAGCAGATATGTCAGAACCTAAAAACTCGGATTCCTCTAATCCGAAATTGGGTTTTATTTTTTTGAGTCCTAGTTTCCATCGTGATTGTCATGAGCAGCAGATAATTCCAATTAAAGAAATTGTGGTGTCAGGTGTGGTGCAAGCATATTGTCAGGGCAAGAAATTCGGATTAGAGGAATCCGAAAATTGAAGCTTCCTGATTGGCCAGCACAAGATGACGCGGATTGTGCTTCTTCATCCCATATACTTCAGCCGCATGATAGTACCAAACTCATCCCAAGCGTCCATTACTTGCACGAAAATCCATACTCCCAACCCCAATGTTAACCTATTTAAATCCCTTCAACATCATATTCATCCTCTTATCCTAAAAACAAATTCATTTAGAAAAAATTATTGAGTGTTCTTGCTAATTCTATTCTCCAAGTTTTTGAAATAAAGGTTAGAAACTTAATTATATCTTTATTCTTTATTATTAATTTTTTGTGCTAATTTTGTTATGTCAGTCTGAATATTTAGAAGACCTTAATATTAATATGTAATTAATCTTAATTGCTAATGTATTAAATAATAAATTAGTGTATATGGTAATTTGAGACTACGTACGTTGCTATTACAAATTTAAATTTAGTTTAGTTAGTTGAACATTTTAATTTAGTCATCATTATTTATTCCCAAATAACACTATAATATAATTTAGTTCGTAACATGTATTATAATTTGGTCATAAAAGCAAACATAAATTATAATTGCACTATACTGGTAAAATTTTCACAAGATCGTCCAGAACTAGTCATTTTCTAGTTTCTTGCAAATGTTATGTCTAGAACTAGTCCTTTTCTAGTTTCTGGCAAATGTTATGTCTAGAACTCGTCCTTTTCTAGTTTCTGGCACAGTGAGAATATTAGTCAATGACAAGTCTAAAATTTGTATCGGTACATACAATTACTAGGTGGGTTATTGTTCCCCTCCACTTCCGGGAACAAAATAAAATTGTACTTTTTAGAGTTGTTGCAGGGACCGCTCGGTGAAGCACGACGGTGGAGTTGGGGCTCAGCAGTATTGGGGTTCCTGTATTACAACATGTGCAAGGCCGCCAAAGCGAACAGGAGAAATATTTGGGGATGCTTGCTTCTATTGCAGATTTGGGCGTGGGAGAGATTGCCCATGGTGCGGCCGCGAAACGTTTTACCATATGAGAATCTACAGGATATGCCCTATGGGTGCAGGTATAATTTGAAATTTTACATAATATGTATTAGTATATTAAATATATTTGTAGGTCATGGTATAATAACTTATTTTTATGAAGGTGGGCATGTCGGCACAATTGGGAACAAAGTTCTCGGTATACTCTACATATTTATCGAGATCAGTTGGACGGGATCCGAGAGAATGAGGTTATAATTAACAATATCATTTTAGTTTAATAGAAAATAAATATGTTTTTAAATTAACTTCAAATAATATTGATCCAGTTCGTGTGGCTCCCATACGCATTACAAGCTCTCCCCAGGTTCTGCGTCGCGGGAGTAGATTTGTGGACTTCTAATGTCATGCTTATATATTGTGACATTTCTGAGATGTACTACCCCGGTAGATTTTGTCGTCAATTCGGTGCAATGCAACATATTCCTACCGTAGCGGAATCACAAGCTAGCCAAGTGGTGCAAAAAATTCTGGATGGCCATTGACACTATGGGCGGCGAGGCACAATCGTCGTATCGCAATTGAGTTCGTTGATCATCCCACCTACACTCCTGCGTACCGTGAATGGTACGCAGATGTCGGGAAACGACGGATTTGCAATCCGTTACATGGTCGACCTACAACGGGTTATGTAACTACTAACAGGAAGACAAGTACACTAGTAAGTATTTTATGTGCAATTATTCAACTTAGAAATGTTTATTATTATTTAATAACTTTACTTTTGAATTTTAGATTCAATGTATGGGCGATATCTAGCGGCGCATGGCAGCTCCATTTGACGTCGAAGACATCCGCGAGCAAATTGCACGATGCCTTACAGGATTAGGTGCCGAGAATGTGCTTCATCAAGACATCATTTTCTATGGGGATGCCCATGATGATGCAATGGATGATCATCCTCCACTTCGGCAAGACCGTAGAAGAGTCGCGGCCACTAGAGGTCGGCGTTACGGACGCGGTTATGTTGCTCCACACGTAGACAATGATGATGGTGATGATGATAATCACGATGATGATGATGAGGAGGAAGAGGATGGCGAAGATGGTGGTGAAGAAGAAGGACAACCATCTTCACATATTCATTCACATATCCCTTCCCCATCTCATGTACCTAATCAATACTCTACACCGACTAGTGCATACATTCCGACGTTTGATGCGCCATCGTTTATTCCACATGTACAGCCTACGTATGAGACACGTCCCACCTTTTTAAATTCACCAATTGATTGGTTGAAAAACTTATTAGGATCAGATGTACAGAGTGGGATGGGGCAAGAAGAAGGGCCAAGCACACAACCGCCAATTGAACATAGGCCGAGACGGGATATACATTCTCGACGTTGTGGGACAGGGAGTCACTTCGTGGTGTCAGGTCGACACTATGAATCTGATGAATCAGAATAGTTGTATGTAGTTATTTTTATCAATTATGAATTGAATTTGTACTTTTAAGTTATCAATCGAATTTGATATTATGTTATTATTATCAGGTACTTTTACTATTACGTTTCAATAATTCAATTGATAATTTTGAATTAAGTTATCAATTGAATTTGTAATTTGTAGTAATTTGTAGTCCTAAGCTTAAATATACGTAATAGTAAAAGTACCTAAACTTTACTATTATGTACGGAGTACTTATTATTCGAAATTTTACTTTTTTTTTCAACATTCAATAAATATCCCTTTCAACATTCAATTAATTTGTACTTTTCAAATATTTTTCATCATTCGAACCACCCTATCACTTCGGTAACCAATAATTCTACAATTTTGATCCCAACAACACCTAAACTCACTCCCAATTATCAATAATTTTGATCTAAAAAAAATATTCCGGGTACAAAAGTGTACAGATTCCACTGACTTTAAATTAAATCAATCAACTTTTAATTTTTCTGACAGATTCCCTGTCATTTCGGGAATCAATACTTCTACACAACATTCAATTTTTTTTCAACCACTTATTATTCGAAATAATTTCAACCACTTCTCCCAACCACTTGCACCCACCTAAACCCACTCTCAACTATCAATAATTTTGATCTAAAAAAAATTATCCGGGTACAAAAGTGTACAGATTCCACTCACTTTAAATTAAATCAATCAACTTTTAATTTTTCTGACAAATTCCCTGTCACTTCGAGAATCAATAATTTTACACAACATTCAATTTTTTTCAACCACTTATTATTCGAAATAATTTCAACCACTTCTCCCAACCACTTCCACCCACCTAAACTCACTCCCAACAACCAATAATTTTGATCTAAAAAATATATCTCGGGTACAAAAGTGTACAGATTCCACTCACTTTAAATTAAATCAATCAACTTTTAATTTTTCAGACAGATTCCCTGTCACTTCTGGAATCAATAATTCTACACAACATTCAATTTTTTTTCAATCACTTATTGTTCGAAATAATTTCAACCACTTGCACCCACCTAAACCCACTCCCAACTATCAATAATTTTGATCTAAAAAAAATATTCCGGGTACAAAAGTGTACAGCTTCCACTGAAATAAGCTGTAGCAATAGAAAATATTTGGTAATCTCGAATTTTTAAGACAGAAGACAAACGTGTGAGATCGTGGAAGGCAGTTTGCATCTATGATGACATGTGTATGTGGCACATTCAGGCGGGAAACCTTCTCAACACCAATTTGTGGAAGGTGAAAAAATATCAACCACTACACAACTGCATAGTGGATTATAAAAGAGCCCGTAATGACAGGCTTATGACGAGCAAGATCATAGCGAGTGTAATCGCTACAAAAGTGCATGTTGATCCGGACTACAACATTAAACTCGTGATGCAAGACATATACGACAAATTCAGAATCAATGTCAAGTACAAAAAGGCGTGGTATGGACGTTTGATTGCCCTTGAACGAAGATTCGGGAACTGGGAGGCGGCCTACAATGATTTGCCCAATTTGTTGCTTGCGATAAGAGAATCAAATCCGGGGTCAGTGGTAGATTTCAAACCAAAACCAACCAGTCATGATGGTACGTATGAATTTCATCGTGCGTTTTGGGCTTTTAAAGCTTCCATTGATGGGTTTGAACACTGTCTGCCCGTAGTATCTGTTGACGGTACTCACTTGTACGGAAAGTTCAAGGGCCATCTCCTGGTTGCAGTCGCCATGAATGCTAACCGTGAGATTTTCCCTCTCGCGTACGCAGTTGTGGAAAGTGAAAACACAAATAGTTGGTCCTGGTTTTTGGAACACATTATGACTTATGTTGTCAGACCAAATCGGCATGTGTGCATAATATCAGATCGACACCCTGGCATCCTAAGTGCCTATCAATCAGTACCTCAATTGAAAACCTCCCAAGTTTCGAAGCGGTTCTGCCTCCGACACATTAGAAGCAATTTCATGACAAAATTCAGGAGCACTGAACTGAAAAAGCTCTGTTGGCAGGCCGGGAGTACACCCATGGTGAGTGAATTT